CACCTTCCACGTCTGATCCAGAACACCTGCGAGATGGAGGGATTATTGATGGGTTTCTGAAAAAAACCTTTCTATACTGGCTAGAATCCCTCAGTCTTTGTAATAGTATGTCGTACGGAGTAGTTTCGGTTAACAAGCTGCATATATTAGCACGGGTATGTCTGCACTAAACAGCTCTGATATGTATAGATTCTATACTGATCGTAGCCAGGAACATGGAGAGGCAACTCTCTTCACTCAGCTTGTATATGATGCCTATCGTTTTATTATGTATCACAAGCAAACGATTGAACTTGGCCCCCTCCAAGCATACATATCTGCGTTATTATTCAGCCCAACAGACAGTCTCATCAGAAAGGCTTACCATCATGAAGCAGCTGAATGTATTTCGATCACAACAGCCATGTCAAGCACCTGGAGCGAATGTGTACAAACGCTTGAGGGACATGAAGGTCCTGTCTCCTCAGTAGCCTTCTCTCATGACTCGTCGCGTGTCATATCTGGGTCCTATGATAGCACGGTCAGGGTCTGGGACGCCAGCAGCGGCGCCAGCCTTCTCACACTGAAAGGCCATACCACTCTTGTGACATCGGTGGCCTTCTCCCATGACTCGTCACGAGTCGCCTCAGGGTCATTTGATACCACGATAAGGATATGGGATAGCAACAGCGGCATCTGTCTTCTAACACTAAGAGGCCATAACGAACGTATCAACTCAGTGGCCTTCTCTTGTGATTCCTCATGGGTTGCCTCCGGATCACTTGACTCCACTGTCAAGATCTGGAACTCATACAGTGGAGATTGTATCCAGACATTTGATCATGGCTATGAAGTTAGCTTAGTAGCCTTCTCTCACGGCTCTACCCGATTAGTATCAGTATGTGTGAAGGGCACAGCGATGGAAGTAAGGGTCTGGGACCTAAACGAAGGCAAACTTCTAAAGACCTTTGGAGATGCTGGCAACGACTTAAAATCAGTATTCTTCTCGCATGATTGTGCTAGAATTGCGTTGAGCACATGGGAATCTGAAGAAAAAACCATTTCAATCTTGGATTTGGACACTGGCGAGTGGCTGGCGACACTCAGCGGGCATATTGATGACATTCGTTCGGTCAATTTCAATCGCAACTCGACCCAGTTAATATCTGGATCAAGCAACGGTACTATCGAGCTCTGGGATGCGATCACTGGAGAGTGTCTTCGAACATATAAAGGTCATACTGAAGATGTTAATTCAGTAGCCTTCTCTCACGACTCAATTTATCTGGTATCTGGGTCATCCGACGACACAATCAAAATCTGGGATGCAAGTAGTACTTTGTGCCTTCAGAACTCAAGGGAACATAGTGGTGAAGCTATATCAATAGTCCTTTCTCCTGACTCGGCACTACTAGCATGCGCATACAGCAACGCCACAATCAAAATCTGGCACGTGAGTAGTGGAAAGTTTCTACAAACCCTCACGCGCCTTGATCATGAGGCCACTATGTGGGAGGTCTACCATTCTGCGATCCTCTCAATTGCCTTTTCTCATGACTCAAACTTGCTAGGATCTGGATCAAATGACGGAACAATCATAATATGGGACCTAAGTAACGGTCAATGTCTTCGAAAAATACTCAACAACTATCCTGTCCGCGATTTAGTATTCTCACACAACTCTGCCTGGCTGGCGTCGGAATCCTCAACCTCAGAGGGTTGTACTAGTAAGCTGTGGGATCTGAGCAGTGGCAAGTGCATCCGAAACTTCGCCTGTCATGATACATGGGCTGAAAAAAATCATATCGGATCGGTAGCCATGTCCCACGACTCGGAACAGCTAGCAATGGCATCTCGAAGCTTCATAATTCATATTTGGAACACTAACAATAGTAAGAGACTCCAGACGCTGGAAGGTCATAGTAATATGGTCCTCTCAATAGCTTTCTCCTTTGACTCGGCGTTTCTTGCATCTGGATCAGCCGACCATACAGTGAAGATTTGGGATTTAAAGCACGGTGTCTGCCTTCAGACTTACGAAACTGATACATGGATCTTACATATGACATTTGAAACAACTGGGCCGTATCTTCATATCGGCATTGGCACTATCGATATTAGCGCTGCTTTAGGCGTATCGTTACCCTCAAATGATTTGGAGCCTTGCATTCCTCGATATCACGGCATTGGGCTAAGTCACAATACAGAGTGGATAACATGTGATTCAAAGCTCGTTGCTCGGATACCTCCTGAATATCGGCCACGACGTGTGGTCTGGCCAGGACAAATGATTGTGTCGGGGAATACTATTGCCATCGTTATCAATTCGGGAATCGTCTGGATATGTCAAGTCGACGTCAATAAGCTTTTATCTCTGGAATGATAATCTTCTCGTCTGTTGGACTATGATATCTCTGTTCTAGGTGCCTAAAGACAATACCGATGTACACCTACTGCTGATTTGCCACGATGCAGTTTCGAGTACCTCTAGAAAATCGGAATAGACTCCATGTTTTCTACCTCTGGTTCGCTAACGTTTGTTGATGTATATGTCTGATAAACTATGGGAGAAATTTTCAACGAATCTGTAATTGTCGCACCCTCAGTGAATAACTATGCGACTTCCCCACCAAGAACGATTCTTGCGGGTCTCATGCCAATTAGGATAGACTGGGCGCGACTCCTCACATGCTGTTCTTTTCAAAGCGATGATCCGAAGAACCCTGAACCATCTTCTTGAGATCCATCCAATACCACTGGGCGAACCAAAATGAAGGGACTTGTAGCTACCCTATCATTGCTACGCATTCGAATGCCACCGCCCGAAGCTGAACCAAACACAGTCTTCACAACTATCTTCCTAGAAAGTATAGAATAATGCCGCACACTGCTATCTCGGTTTTGAAAGGCAATCAGGAAATCTACTATCCTTCACGCACCGCACCGCCCATCTCAAGCAAAACCACACCCACATTAATGAGTGAACAACCACCACGCCCTCAACTCGGCAACTGTCTCCCCATCACCGCCCTCCACAGCGGAAACCCCAATCCTCCCCCTTTCTACAAACGACCCTCAAAATGCCGTCGCGGACAGCAGCACCCGCCACAATAGCTGAGCGACGAACCGCCGCCGACGCAATCATCCTCCACCAAATCAACCACCTCCCCCGCAAAAAACTCCTCATCGTCTTCTCCGTCCTCGCCATCTCGCACGTCGTCTGCTTCATCGACCAGACAGGCATCGGTGTCGCGCTCTCGACCATCGGCCGCGAACTTGACGCCGAAGACACGATTAGCTGGGCCGGCACGAGCGCGCTGATTGCGAATACGATTTTCCATGTCCTGTATGGACGGATGAGTGATTTATTCGGTACGTTTCTTGCGCTCTTTCTACTTCCAACTACGTTTGTGCTCTCGAGGAAAGGAAGAGAGAGAAGATAATGTGGACTGACGTTGTGGTGTACAGGTCGAAAATCCGTTCTCTTAACCGCCCTAGCCCTCCTCTCCATCTCCTCTCTCCTCTGCGGTCTCGCTCTCAACGCAAAAATGCTTTACGTATTCCGCGCGGTATCCGGTGTGGCGAACGGGGGCGTCGTGTCGCTCTCCTCGATGATCGTGTCCGATATCGTTACGTTGAAAGAGCGGGGGAAGTGGCAGGGTATGATTGGGGCGTGTGTTGGGATTGGCAACATGGCTGGCCCGTTTATCGCAGCGGCGTTTGTGCAAAAGAGTACGTGGAGAGGGTTCTTCTGGATGCTGAGTCCTATTGCGGCGCTTTGCGGGGTTTTGTGCTTGTTTGTGCTGCCGACGCCGGTGGATCAGCCCAGGGCGGATGTCAAGACGGTCATGAAGAGGATTGATTATGGGGGCATATTTTTCGGAAGTGCGGCGCTGTTGCTGCTGCTTATCCCGATTGCGGGGGGTGGAGATTATTTCGAGTGGAATTCGCCGATGGTGATTTCCATGCTGGTGCTTGGGGGGTGCTGTGTGCTCGTTTTCGTGTACATTGAGCACAGGGTAGCGGTGCTGCCTATGATGCCGCGTACGTTTGTTCCCTTCCCGAACACCCTTTTCATATGACTTACTAATTTTCCTGTTTATCGCTCTAGTAACTCTCTTCAAATCCGGTCCCGTATCCGTCATGCTGATCCAAAACTTCCTCTTCGGAATGGTCGCCTACTCGCAAACTTACTACCTCCCCCTCTTCATGCAAAACGCACGCCGCCTCTCTCCCATCACCTCCGCTTGCCTCATGCTCCCCATTTTCGCTTCGCAGACGCTTTCTTCCATCGCTTCGGGCCAGTACATGTCACGCTCCGGACGCTACGGCGAAGTCATCTGGACCGGTTTTTTCTTGTGGACCCTCGGCGTAGGACTAACATGCATCTTCTCCCTGGACACGCCACTGTGGGCTATCGCACTCATCCTCGCTATTCAGGGCACTGGTGTTGGCGCAGTTTTTCAACCCGTGCTCGTCGCGCTACAAGCACACTGTTCAAAAGCTCATCGTGCAATCGTCATCTCCAACCGCAACTTCATCAGGAGTCTTGGCGGCGCAGTCGGTCTGGCAGTTTCAGCGGCGACACTCCAGAGCTCGTTGTATAATGCTATGCCGGTCGAGTTTCGTCCCCTGATGCTTAGCTCGTATGACACGCCGCCGTTCGAGACAATGGATGATAGGCAGATTCGGCTCATTCTGAAGGCATATGCGACGGCTAGTCGGACGGTTTTTATTGTGAATGTGCCTTTGATGGTACTGTGCCTGATGGGGTGTTTCTTGATAAAGGATGAGGGACTCATGCATCAGCAGGAGGACAAGGGCATCGAGAAGACGATCAGTCGAGACGAGGAATCATGTCATACCGGTAAGTAATTAGGGATGGACAACAGGATGCAAAGGTCGACCGTGGGGGGGGGTTGTTTTTCCAAAGACAAAAGTCATTCCATCATTCCCTTCACTAGTACAGTATTTTATATCATACTTCAATAAAAGTCCAGTGTTCCAACGTCTTCTTCTCCTCACCAATGTCTCCAATCCCACTCCCTTTCCCACGCATAGGCCGCTTCCAAAACTTCCATCTCTCCCCACCACTTCCCTACAATCTGCATGCTAACCGGCAACCGAACTCCATCCCGCACACCTGGCCCTTCCAAAACTTCCAAGAACCCAATGGGGAGTGCAAGCGCTGGATGCCCACTTTGATTAAATGGTGCCGTATTCGACGTCAACCCAACCTGTTTCGCTACCTGCTCCAGCGGTGTCGCATCAGCAGGTGGATGGCTCGTCGCTATATACGGTAGCGTAGGCGTAAGCAACAAGTCATACTCGCTCAGCACCGCATCATACGCATCGCGCAGCTGTCTGGATAGATTGGTCGCTTTGGCAAGGAGATTCGGGAACTGTTGTGTTGCATATAGTCCATTTAGGTAAACGTTTTTAGTAGAAGGATAGGCTTCATCCCAGCTTTCCGGGACTGCTGCGGCTTGCTGGAAGAGGGTGTTCAGGGGAAGCATTTGATGTGTACGACGCCCAAATGGACCGCTAGTTTTGCTTAGGAAGCCTCCGACTTTGGAAATGCCAGTCCATATTGCGGCGCCTTTAGCGTGCAGGGGGATGGAAACTTGGGTTACGGTCGCACCTAGTGAGTTGTATTTTGAGGCTGCGGCGAGGAAGGTTTGGACTACGCGGTTGTCCATGGCGGGTGTGGAGAGGGATTCGGTTATTATTGCAAATTTTCTGCCTTGGAGGGGTTTTTCTAGGGGAAGGTTGGCGATGGAAGTGTAAAGGGGGATCTTAGAGGGGTGTGGTGCTGCGAAAGAGCGATCGTCAATGTCATCATTGCCTGCGATAGCTTCGAGGAGAAGAGCATTTTCGAACACGGTGCGTGTCATGGGGCCGATGTGGTCGTTGGTTGGCTCATTGCTACCACATCCCGTGTATGGGACGAGTCCAAATGTTGGCTTCAGACCTACGATGCCGCAATTGGCAGCTGGGACACGAATACTTCCTCCTTGATCTGCACCAATCGCTCCATCGGCTTCGCCTAGCGCGACAATTACTCCTGATCCGCTAGAACTTCCCCCTGCACTATAACCTTTTGCGAATGGGTTTTCGACTATGCCAGTACCAGAGGAGTGGCTTGTTGCCGAGTGACATAGATTTTCGCAAACAGCTTTCCCCAAGATACGTCCGCCGGATTCCAAGATACGGGTTGTGACTGTTGCATCAAGATCTGGAACGTAGTCTTTGATGAAGTTGGTGCCTAGTAGCATAGGCACGCCCTTGATAGCTACGTTGTCCTTCAAAACAAAAGTCTTGTCGTGCAGCTTGCCTTTACCGTCAGCGAGCTTGTCAATAATGTTACACTTCCACGCCCACGCTCCATTAGTGTTTTCTGATTGCTCTGGAAAATGTACATTTTCTCTCGGAAAACGATTTTCATCCACATGTGGGACGTAGTCTATTAATGCTCAGCTCAAGTCTTGCAACTCATTGTCTTTCTGCAGCCTACCGTCCATAGCCATCAGCTGTTCACTCGCATCATGGAAAACCGCGAGTAGGCGTCGATAGTCTTCCTTCTCTTTTCCATCTATTGACATGCCGAGCTGTGAGCAAAGCTTGTCTAGGGTTTCCGTCGTGATAGGGCTGCCATGGCTCGCATCCAGTGAGAACACCGACATGCTTCTTTCTATTTGAGAAATCTGTAATTCTTTCAGTTGTTTGAATGGTCCCCAAGATCAATTTCCAGTAAGAAGAACGACAACGGTGATGCGCGTTCAAAATTTTTGATGTGTACTAACACATTGCTAAATCGAAATAGGATTTGACACATATTGCTTAGAAGATGTCCTGATAAGAAAGCACTTCTAGGAGGGACCTTAGTGCTCCAGACGATACAAACGAATTTAGGCGATGTTCTGAGAGGAACGATAACAATGATGCGGGGTTGGTGGGTCGCGTTGCCCATCATCGGAATCGTTACTCCCGATCAACCAGCCTGCCAGTAACAACGACCGTAGACAAGCAGCTTCCGTTTGTAGAAAGATAACGATGGCTCGGGTTTTAGATAATTGGATACATATGGAGAAAGATAATGCGATCCCACATCAGGGATCCCAAAACACCTCACCTTCTGATTTTCGAGTGTCTTTGGGAACGCCCTAGTTAATCCATCATGGCCCATGTTGAAGAGTCACTACAACTGCCACGAGACTTTGAAGGTGCGAAAATTTGCAGTAATAGCACCTCTAATACTTACAACTTGATTCAGGTTTTGGAGAAGACGGCCATGATGCGCAATGGCCAAATGGAGCTCGAATAGCCATTTCGTTTGTTCTAAACTATGAAGAAGGTGGAGAGAGAAATCCTATGGATGGAGATGGTACCAGCGAACCCTATCTCTGGGAAAAAGGTCCATCGGGAGGTGGGAGGGAGCAACGGCATCTTAATGGTGAGCAGGACTACGAGTATGGTAGTCGATGCGGCTCTTGGCGCATACTGCGCTTGATGAAAGAGTTTGGCTGGAACATGACTCTATGGGCTATTTCTGTAGCCATGGAAAGGAATCCCTCGTTTGCCAAAGCGTGTGTCAGGGAAGGCCATGAAATCGGCGCGCATGGCTACAGGTGGTTGGATATATGGGATTATTCACTTGAGGAAGACAAAGCATACATCAAGAAGACGTGCAAGGCGCTAGAGGCGGCTACTGGTATGTGTTTTCGAATACTGTTGCTGAAGTTGAGCTGATCAGTGTATAGGAGAGTTTCCGGTTGGAGCATATTTTGGAAGAGGTACGCCGAATACAGCTAGCTTACTCCCTATCATGTGGAAAGAGATGGGCCACAAAATGTTATATACCTCCGAAGTGTATAATGAAGATTCTCCTTATTGGATCGATCTTCCATGGGAGAAAACACTCCCGGATGAAGAGAAAGAAGGCTTGTTGATGCTGCCATATAACTACGACTGTAAGCAAGAGTCATATTGTAAGTTTTAGTCGCGAGCTAACACCGAGATAAGGCAATGATGGGAAGTTCCATATGCTTCCAGGTTTTGTCAGTTCAGCCGGCGCTGTATATGAGCAGTATCTGAAAGACACGTTTGACTGCCTATACAGGGAAGGCGGGAAGATGATGACGATACCCTTGCATTCCAGGATAGCAGGTAAGCCAGGAAGATCCGAAAGTCTTCGAAATTTCATGAAGTACATTTCTCAGAAAGAAGGGGTTTGGGTAGCGACGCGAAGAGATATTGCAAACCATTACCGCAAGACGTTTCCTTACAAGCCGGGGTCGAAGACTGGTGGGCTCAGCTAGCTTGAATGACTACTTCTGAAAGCCTGTTTATTTTTCAAAGGAAACGATTGAGTGAATGCAGCCGAATTTCCGTTACAGCGAGTTTCTTCAAGATGTTCGCCCCGATCCAGAGTAGATTACCCCAACGTTATCAACGACTACTAGTTCAAATGCCGACATCTCCGACCCGACATCGGCATTTTCGTGCCGACATCTTATCACCTTATCATGCACACTCATAGCTTGCATTCTGAACATATACTATCTAAGCTTGAATGATCTGGTGATTTATCGGGGCTATTGCCGAGCTTAGAGACAAAGTCAGAAATGAAGAGATCAGAACGGTCCTGGGAACGTTTACCCCCACGTGTTCCGCTGAGTCTAGTCCGAAGAGGGAATAGTCTACGGCGAACCAGGACCGGCCCGTTAGTGTGAGATTAGATTCCACCTAAAAAGAACAATCAAGATCACTCAAGATGCAAATAGGAGACGATGCGACAGGCTTGTCATTTAAAAAAATTGCTCCTAAGAAAATACGAACCAACTCAATACGACCTTGTTTCCCCAAACACCCCCTCATCCTAGCGACATGTTCAGATTCGCCAGAGAGACTGCTGTGCGCGCTCCCAGTGGTCCCGATCCCGGATGTAACGGGGGTTCTGCGCTACAATGGAGCAGGGCAGGAAGCGCGATTGATCAATATCATATACTACGCTACCGCTGACGCCCTGCAAAGAGCTCTCAATAGCAACCTCGCACATGGTATGGCACTTGCCTCCCCAGTGGCCGGCGATTGCTTCCCGAACCCATTTCTGCTCCAGCTGTTGCTTCAGCTCCAACGTCTTGGTCTCGAGCGTAGCAATCTCGAGATGGCGAAGTGCGTCCATGATGATCGCAGCGGCCGGCGCTTCACGAATCTCCAGAGCCTTATCGTCTGTCGACAGGGGCTCGAGTCCGACAAATCGGCCAAGACCAAACTTTCCGACTTCTCTGTTGAGGAACGCGATGGCATCGATGAGAGGGAATTTGTTGCCATCCACTGAGACGAGGTTTCCATTCTCGAACCGAAGTGTGAGCTTCTGAGGTGGGTGGTCCTCGTGGCGTCGGGTCCATTGGTAAGCATCTTCTGGAATGCAGAAGCCTTCTGGGTCACCCAGAGGACCATCTTCGAATTCTCGGCACCAGAGATTCTCATCGCCACTGAGCTTGCGTTCGGACATGATAGTCAGTCCGGCGACGCTGAGTTCTTCCGCCTTCCTCTCTCGCGAGACGACGGAGTGCGGGTATGGGCTACCAAACTGTCCAGGGAAACCAAGACGGCGAATGCAGTTGTTAAGCCTAGGCAGACTGTTCTGCGATAGATTGGCTGTATGGAGCAGCAAACCAGCACTGACCTCTTTGGCGTAGTCGGTGATGAGGCGCGCGATGACAGGGCGGGTAAGGGAGCTGCTGACGGGGAAGAGGCCCAGATACATGGCATGGGCGCGAATAGCGGGCATGACACCTTCCTTGACAAATGCCTCGCGGCCGTCAAGAAGCTTGAACTTGGCGCCAAAATGGGCGGCGTGCTTGGTAAGGCTCTCCTCCTCAACTGGCGCTCCAACATCAACTGCCACGGCATGGATGTTGGTAAAGCCGAGCTGTTGAAGACGGAGGAGCAGATAGGTGCTGTCCAGGCCGCCGCTGAACATAGTTACGACAGGCGCATCTCGGCTCTCGAACCTCGCAAGCTGCTCGAAACTCTCAATGGGCTTGGTTTCCTTGGGGAGGGCGTCGTTGACACCGTTGACTTTTAGGCCCTGCGCTTGTTAACATGGAAATCGAAAGACACCGTGGTATTTCCATACCATGACTGCAATTGTGAGAAATTGATGGAGGGAATAAAAGATAAGTTATTTTATGAGATGAGTGCGAGAAGTAGGATTGTAACTATCAAGCAATGAGTGAAGAATGAATCCAGTGTCAGGTTGGTTTGCCAGGCTTTATACCTCGCGAGTGCACTACCTTCTCGTGGCGAAATATCGCTATGTCCGTTGACTCTTCGACCGACCCTTGGCCGATATCGCCAACCGGCGCTACAAGCCGTGATACTGAAGGACATACATGCATTCGAGGGAATGTCGCAAGGGTGTAGCTGCAGAAGTCAGCTGCACTTTGGAAGCAGCTCACCGCCAATGGAGGTTACAATCTGCCATTACAAAGAAACACTCAGCTGTAACCAAATTCTTTCAAAACAGATGATCAAACCCGAAGCTAGGAAAGACTACCTACCATGCCAGCTCAGCCGCACGGTTCGGGGCATACTACTGGATCTGGGCTGGATCCTTCACCGGTATACACTTCCTCGAGACAATGCCCTCAGAATCGCCTTCTCATGGTAGCAGTAGGATGCACGTGGGGCTCTGCTACAAAACGGTTCATGTGGTGTACTGCATTTCTCCATCAGCGTGTCTGAAACGATAGACAAAGGCGTGCCACTAGCATGGCCCGATAGTGGACTGCTAGCACTTACCCGCCTAAATTTAGGATCTAGATTCATCGGCTGTACGACGAATCCTTCCCCAGATCTACAGCAGCGGGCCGCGTCAGCGGTTACAAGTAAGAGTTCATGCAGATGGGTTGCCCTGCGTCTATGGGCTTACCCTTGGCGTGGTGTACAGGAAGGCTAGCGGCCGGGTAATATCAACTGTTCCCCCACCAATCACGAGCATCAACACCATACAACGCTGCGACTAATTGGGAAAGTACGACAGATTGCACCATTCCTGCAGAATAATCACAGAGGGCGCCTGAACGGATCTGGAATATGCGGCATATGGCCAGTACTGCACCACTGTGGACCACAATTAGCAAGAGCCTATATGGAGTTTAGTGCTCGTGGTACAAGGAGTACTTACCTGGTGTATACACGTTTTGATCTAGTTTCTTTTTCTAACCTCCTGCATATGCTGACTGGGCCTTTCCAAGGCATCCATCGAGTAGCAGGCATGGTAACATGCAGGACACCGGCTCCACTTGCCCTACCGTCTGACAACCATCCTTCACCGCGGCTCAACGGCATCAGCAGACCGGCTAAGGCCGACAAGAGCACACTCCAGACCAACCTCAACCTCTACATCTTTGCCACGATGGGGTGGACCGACATCGGCAGTTGCTTCGAGGACGGTGAGGATTCGCTCCAGCTGTAGAAGCGCTTCAGGAAACACTGCTGTGTCCTTTTCCGCGGACCGTTTTTGGCAATTTCCCCAGCTTAGTGGTGTAACATGTCGAGGTCGGGAGAGTCTAGCGCGTGGCAAGACTCACTCTCCCAATGCTTCACCGCGGTGACTTTCGTTCAACAAAGAGAAATGTGACTATGGAAAGGGGACGCCTGACGAAGGATCCCAAGGCAATGTCAACTCTTGCTGCCAGTCTTTGAGGATATAAGCTTCACTGAAGCCGCAGCTATCTCGACATCCAACTCATTCAAACATCAGCTTCTCCATCAAGCATCTTCACTATCTCATTTCTCTCTCACAATGGCTATCAGCGAGTCTATCATCGTTTCCAAATCTTTGCCTACTATTCACCTCGATCGCCTTCGAGCCAACGATGCTCAGGAGAGCAAGAACTTGCTCAATGCTTGCAGAACCCATGGGTTCTTCTATCTCAATCTGAATAGCGACCCTGAGCTATGCAATCTGTGGAAGAAGATGCTCCAGAACATTGCGCAATACTTCAACCAGCCTCTTGACATCAAGATGCGCGATGCCCGTGGCAGTGATAACTTTGGGTAAGCACACACTTAGACAATGATTTAGTCTCCATACAGACACTGACCTTCTTTCCAGCTACGAGCCCATGGGCACCGAAGCAGGCCCCAACCCAAAGACCAGAGACGGCTACGAATCCCTCAAGGTACAGCATACCCCATCCTAGCACGCAAATCCAGACTGACCTGCTCCTTCCAGTTCTCGCGCCGAGAATTCCTCAAAGGATCCTCCGACCTCACCACCTCCATCCGCGCAAAGGAAGACTGCTTCTTCTCCTTCATCGACCACGCCCACACCATCACCCTGATGATCCTCTCCCGCCTCTCCACGCAACTAGGCCTAACCGGCGCCTCCCGCTTTGAGGCCCACCACGCCGACCCAGGCCCATCCCTCTCCACCCTCGGGCTGCTCCGCTACCCCAAACACGAAGGCGCCAGCGCCGCCGAGCCCCAAAACGTCGGCCACAACAAGCACACCGACGTCGGCACCCTGACTTTCCTGCTCGCCGCCCAGTGGGGCCTCCAGTACCTCTCGCTTACGAGCCGCCGCTGGGAATTCATCGAGCCGCGCGCCGGCCACGCTATCATCAATGTAGGCGACAGCCTACGCTTCCTCTCTGGTGGCAAGCTGGCTAGCGTCGTCCACCGCGTTGTGCCCCTGCACAAGACGCAGCTTGAGGACCGTTACAGCATGGCCTACTTTTTGCGCATGAATGATGGCGGTATCTTTAATGATACGTCCAGCAAGAAGTGGACCGCAAAGGAGTGGCACGATTTCAAGTTTGGTGTCTTCAAGGACCCTAATACGCTGGATGCTGAGGGTCGCTTTCTTACGGGCATGATGATTGAGGAGTTGGAGGGCCCGATTTTGGTTGCGCCATAGATGGCTTGCGGAGAGGGGACTAGAGTACGGTTTGTGCGGGATAGTAGGATCTGGAATTGTGGGCGTTTTTTTCTGGGCGGGCCGCCTAACGGATGTGGGGGGTTTTCTATGTTTCCTTTTGTGATGGGTTTCTTTTGAAAATCGCGTATTGTATGGTACTCGATTAGATGTTTCCTTTGGTATTTGCTAGGGTACTCAAAATACATTCTTTGCTTGAATACAACTTCGCATATGTTTGTTCTTGTGCTCAAGTGATGGTTGCAGCTCATTGGTTGCCAAAGCTCATTGGCACTACTACTATCCGAGATAACTACAACCACATAATAGAAACATATACATCAAATCCACTCAATACTTGACATAGAGCAATAGCCACAAAGACCAATACCATCTCTCATTTACTCAGCTAAACCCAAGCTTACAATCAGCACACTAATACTCAAACGTGTTCCCACCAGCCAAACCCCTCTACTACTCCTCCTCTCCTTTACCATCCTTCCAACTACATCCTCTCCCCACTCACGTGCCTGCGCCAAACCCCCCACCAATCTCCTTGCCGCTCCCCAAAGCCATCCATCGGAGCATCACTGCACCTCCCCGCTGAAAAGACCACAACCCAGGCTCCTCCTCGCTTACCTCCATGCAACACCTTGCATACAAAAGGTGGGACTGAAAGCCCGAAACGCCACGCATCTAGCCCCCGCCCGGCCCCCCCCGTCCGCATCCTCCCTGCTATATGCAGAAGAGCGAACGTGGGGGAGAGTGGGGGGTGTAAGCAGAAAAAGCCAAGTAGGCAAAGAGCGAAAAGTGGATCTTTGGACCCTTTGAACATTTTATCTTGGTTGAAGGGGGAGAGTGGGGGAGGAGAGATCGTTACTGGAAGTGTTAGGTGGGAAGGGTGGATGGGGGGGGGGGGGG